TTCTCAAAGGTTGTTTTCATGAAAGCTAAACTAAACATACTATCCTAGAAAAAATAGTTATGTTTGAAAATTTAATGAATATAGATGTATTGATATAAGGAGACGCAATTGAATTTGTATTTTGCAAGGGGCAAGGAGGCGTGGCCAAGTTCCCTCCCGGAGGATAACAAAAAACGTCAGAACCCAGTCATACTGAACATAAGGCCAAGAGGTACTTGAATGTTCGGACGAGATTAAGCCCATCTACCAGAAACAAAAACAGCGAAGAGGAGACGGTTCGGAGCCTGAGGTGATGGGCTGCTGAGAACATAAGACAGCCCTGGATAAGCGTAAGCCTTCTTATGTTTTTCTTACGATAAATATTTATAAGGCATGTTATTGCTACTAAACCTCTACGACATGAAAATGAAAGCATTTTGCCGCAAAAAAGGTTGATTGTGCAGAACTTTATCGATAAAATCAGGCAAAAATATTCCTACCAGTACCTATCATATTTTGGATTCTCGCGACCGTTTCGTTTTTCGTCATTCTTTTACCAAAGTGAGAATTACGAGTCACACTATGGACTTGCTAAAAGTTAATCTAAGCTCAGCGTGCCTCCATGAACTCCACTCCTGAACAAGACCCGTTTGAATTTTAAACCTTAGAATAGTGAAGAACATATCGACCACAAAAGAATAGCTGAACGCTGAACAAGACGCAAATCGCGCGCCCTGCAAATTTGCAAGGCTTTTTTTTAGCCGGAGAAACCAATGAAAATGAAGACTTTTCAAAGTTGAGAATATGGCATGATAATGGTGGTAAAAAGTTAGGGTTCTAACTTGCATAGACGCTAGAAACCATAACAATATTCTTATAGATTCGTACCAAACGATTAAAAAAAAATAATGATAATTTGCAAGACTTCTCTTGTACATAGGAATGAAAGCAGACGTAATCTCCATTACAAACATTTTGTATATTTAACTGGGAGCTGCTTCTGATGATTAGCGGAAATCTTAACACATATCCTGCTTAGCTACCACCAGTGGGGTGATAATTACTGCTACAAGCACACGAATCACGCAAAACAATAAGCCATCAATAATTTATTAAAACGCCTTGAAATATTCGCTAAACGCTCCAAGATGCATAGTTTATTTTATTCGCTACGAAAGCAGACTGTTGTTCTCATGCTCAAATGTTCAGTGGATCTTGCATGTGTTAGTACGTGATTGCCCGTAATCTTCAGTGCTACGTTTCCGTTTTCAAGCTAAATATCTGTGAAAAATTACTTATTTACGCTTGTGTATCTGCTGACAAATCTTTTAAGCTTAAATGTACGATCTAACTCGACCACGTTTCACAAAACAACTGGTGCGAGGAAAAGCTGCCATTGACATATCCTAGCTAAGACCAGCGACAGATTTCGTCAGTTTGCGGATTTCTACCCAGATGTAAGGACGCTGGTGAGTCTTGCGATTGCTTTTAGTGAAAATTTATGAAACTGCTGTTCCAGAGGTTCGTTTGCATTGACGCATAGATTTATCAGCTCTTATCAAATTTGAGTTTACTAGCTGAGTTTATCGCACTCGGAATTAGAAGAACAAGCAAATCCATGAATTTACGTTCAGATGATCGTTGCAGACCAAATTACATGTTCCGAGTAATTTAACGTTGCAAATCTCTCTCAAATGGTTTGATTACTAGTTCAGCTTAGTAAACCAAAGTGAATTCCGTGTTTTGGTGATTTAAAACTCAACCTCAAACTTTAATATGATGAAAAATGAGTTGTGCGACTATTTAAAAGGTAGCCTTGTAAAACTATTTTCAGTTGGGTCGTGACGAAATATTTACTAACTCATACTGTGCAAAGTGTTGTATGCTTCTCTATAGCAAAAAAGGTCCGTTTAGTATGGGCAACGAAAAATACACTAAATGATCATGTTTTCCTTAAATATCGTGAAAAACATTGCAAAGTGTTGATGCTCAGTGGTAAACCATGCTCAAAAAGTCCTTAGCCTGTAGAGTAGGTACATATGTTCTTGTTATATACCTAGACTTTCACTCAACAAGACGAGCACTGTGAATGGTTGATTTTTGGTCACGTACCCTTGATCAAATTCAAATTTATCCCGACCAGGATACAATTGCGCAGTTGCCCGCGCGCCGAATACAACAGCACATGATTGTTTAAGGGAAAGTCTAAATATGTAACAAAGCGCTTAATGTATGGTCCCACGGTAAACTAGTTAGTTTCTCTCGACTTTGTCTAGGGAAACATTAGGACTCCAGGGAAAACAAAACTAACTGTTTCCCTCGGGACAATACATTGAGTGTATAATATCCTTACTGTCCAGGTGCATGTTAAAAATCTAAAAGGATAACCATTAACGACAACCTGGTTACCTTTCTGTTTGGCGAGCTGGTTAAAAAGTGCACAATTCTACAGCAGGTAATCAATGGTATGTGTGTTTGCTCCCCCATAACCAAAAAAGGTACCATCGATGGTAAATGATACCACGACGCGTGTTTCAAGATTAAAAAAAGATATAAAATACTCAAAGTCTAGGCCGGAATGATGCATCAAAAGCAACAGATTTTGTGGTTGCTTAATTGAGAAAACAATGGCCGTAACACTCTTTCAAAGCCGCAAAATTCCCACTTCAGCGAAGACTCAGTCCTCGTGGTATCGAGGGGGTTTGACAGACTATTGGTCAATGCGTAATTTGATTAGTTATGCAGGAGGACCCACTCTTATCCATGAAGAAACAACGGAAGCGGTTGCTGTGGGAAGAGCCGCTTTCTTCAACCCAACTTGACCTGATTCCATTTTTTCGTCCCTTGAGGTAACAAATACGCTGAAAGGACAAAGCTAAGTTTGGGCTGTGCGTACATTATTATTCTAAAAGTTTCCTTTGGTCATTGAGATAGAATAGGAACTCAAATACAACGGCTTTGCTATTTTTATACGTAAATAATTTTAGTGAATTGTATTATGAATTATAAAACTTGAAAAACACGATTAATCAACTGGAGCTGCAAACCCAGCGAATTCTCCTACTTAAATCACTTGAGAAAGCTAAGATAAATAAATTAGCAATTTCCTTTTGTGCCGTTTCAGCGGGAGTCCTTGTTGAACGTGTTTGGGATCACAATTAAATTACACGAGATGTAATTTAAAAATTAAGGTTCAATGGTCGAGAGTTCTTTGGCCAATTTTAATTAAAAATTGTAAGAGGTTCACCTATGAATCTTCTCTACTAAAAATAGAGATTCAGGCGATGGAATTTGACTTCAACCAGCTTAAAAAAAGAAATTGCGAAAAATCATGTGCACAAGAACATACAATGAATGTTTTTGGATATGTTTGGAATCTCAGTGATATAAATTTACGTGTAAAAGAAGTATAACATGCGCTCTTTCGTCTGGCAATATAATTCTTGAAATATGAGTTTATCCAAAAAAACCCAGTGAGAGAAGTTATTTCTCGAAAAAACTTCAAAGTCTACCGCATGCATGTCATTTCCTGAAGCAGCCGTTTTCTATCAAGTAATTAAAAAGGGGAATTTCTATCTAACGTACATTAACTTCGGCATCCAAAAGTTTAAACCATTTTCTCTAATCTTAAGCTCTATGGAGCTTACGTTGACTGTGGTGACTTTCCGCCTAATAGAGCTAAATAAGCCAGCTTCAAAGCAGCTTAGCTAAGAAAGAACTGTGGTTTTTTAATTAGCTTAACAAGTGTGTATCTTGTAGTTTTGTGTCGATTTGAGCAGGAAATCCTTGTGATTATTGAAGAGCGTAAGTCTGTAATCCATTAAAAGAATTTAAATGTTTACATTCAAATTCGATTGTTTTTGTGGACTTCCTGAAACCTTATCCTGGATTTCAGGGAAACAAAAATAAAATTAGGTCGGCGTATATTTAAGTAGTTGTAGAATGAACAATAAGGCGATTTACTATCACCTCAACTCGTGCTTGGTTTTGGACAGTGCTCAAGCGTTGACAACTTTATTCACGGTGTATCATATTCTCTTGGCCGGAATGCGCTGTCGAAAAACTTGTTGAAATACTATCTTACTTTTCCTGCTTCGGCCTGGATGGCAATTTCGTAGCATATAGAAGAGTAGCCTGCATAAAAGGCGAAATTCAGACGGGCCGAGGAGAATTCGAAACGAACGCGAAGGGGGAGTGACGTAAGCCTCGCGCTTGCCGGTGATGCTACGCAAAAAAACAAAGAAAAAAAGAAAGAAAGAAAAGTAGAACGGACTTCTTTCCTTCAAAAATTTAATTATCCGATTGTGGGTTTAAAGTACGCCCGCACTGCACCCAATCAAATGAACAGCACGAGAAAGCCCTCGCTTTCAATCTCATCTGAGATCAAATCCCGAAAGGAAGATTATGAGGAAGATGAAATCTCTTTAGAAGTAAGTTGCCTCTAAACACTCTTAAATCAAGTTCATATTTCGCAACGACAATGAGTCAGCTTTCAGCTTTGATTCCATTTTTAACTTCCAGCCGTTTTAGATTTACAAAAGCTTAAAATTTATCAACTGTCTTATCTTCAGGCACAAGTTTTGCTCAGTTTCACCTCAGAAGACTAACAAACGTTTCAGGAGAGATCGGTTTCTCCGCTGAGATTTCTTAAGAAGAAAAAATTAGAGGCCAGAGTAAGCCCAGAACTACCAATCTGTCAAAGCAAACAATAGACCGTTTGTTAGGAGTGAAAATTTCCACAGGAAATGAAAGCAATATTCTGTTATCCTAAAACTGCTTCACACTGATCAATACCTTAATTGGCACAATTGAGTGCCATCAATTGCAAAGAAAATCACTTGGTGGTCCGAAATCATCTCTAAAAAGTACGTGAAATTTGAAATCCAACCCGTTTCGTTTCATCTTCATATCCTTACTGTTACATAAAAAAAGTAATCCAAGGTCTACTAAGATAAAAAAAATCAACAACACAAAACAAAACAAAAAAAAGAAAGTGGCAGAAAGTGTCACTAGTGTTTTTTTTTTTACAGACCAGCCACTAGGATCAAAAAATGTCTAATTTAAGGTTAACATTTGCAGAAAGACTGAAAGGAAACACAGAAATCAAGAGTGCCTGAGGGTAAAAATAGAGAAGATTAAGACTAAATTTCATTCGTGTAAACTTTGCTCTCTTTGTTCGAACGTCTAAGTCTTCTTTATTGTTAATGCCCGAAATGAGAATCGTACTTTGAGACTTTGAGAATCGTATCCCTGCCATCACACACTTAAGACTCCCGCTCACAACGTATGAGGATGAACAGAAATATTTAGGACAGTCTCATAGCCTTTCCTTTTCCTGATTTATTCAATTCATTAGTTTGATGAGGAAGGCCAGGGAGTAAGATAAGTTGTGCGCCAGGTTCTTGTCACTAAACTGAATTTCTTCCGTTTCTCGTTGACAATAAAATCCATTAGAGAGCTTTTCCACTTGAGTGTACCCGCCTGCTTTCATTACGACAACGTAATCTCTTCCCGTCGATAATTAAGCTGATCTGATTGCACTGTTACCTTTATCAATCGCGTACACGACAAGCTTAAGTTTACTGAGCCGTTCTGAATCGGGACAGAACGCTGTGATATCAGCAGATATCAAAACCAGCCGTTTACTTGAACTGATGGTTATGAACGCATAAAACGCCTACAAGCCGAGCTAAAGGCTGTGATGTACTGGCCCAGCAGGTTCCCAAGTACGCGATCCATTACAAAATACTTTCAACGTTTTTCAAGAAAATCAGGTGTAAAACTGAAAGCCGATTTCTCGGTCGTGCACTGTGACTGATATCATCTATGTCAGAATTAACCCATTTGGGCAAGATAACAGACTTTTGAAATTAGCCAAGACGGTAAGCAGACGGCTAAAATAGAAACATGACTTTGTTGTTTACGACTACAAGTGGTCGATCCCTTGAAGCCTTGGTTTGTATATATGACCGATGGTATTTAACCTGCAGGTTGTTCAGATCACGCCAATACGTAGGACGGACGCAACCGAGGAGTCATCTCTGGTGTCCCACAACCTTTATGTAAGCTGTTTGAGCATCTAATAGAAAGGCCTTGTCAAACGCAAGTAAGTTGAGAGATCTAAACCATCCCAGCACCAAGGAATGAGCTTCTAACAAAGATAACTTCCTTCCTGATAAAACATTAAGGTTCCGCCATCTGGCGCCAGACCGCACGATATCTGGTCGTACTTCTGGCTACAGCGTGCCAACTCTAATACAAACAAGCTGCACAACACCCTTAAAACACAAACGCCTTACACAACGAGGGATAAAGATACACCGCTAATTTACGACCAAGGTGAGAGGTTGAAAATGAGGAAAAGGGAGGTTTGGAGAGTTATTTTCGCCGCATGGACATTCGCAATGCAAATTGCAATGGATGAAGCAGGTATGAAAGAAAGATATAACTTAAATTCCAATGAATTACGTTTCTTTGGATAATGCATCACAGTAGCCAACAAGTAATATTATTTAGACACCCTCCCTCGGGCGATGATTCTCAGTGTGACGCGGATGTCCCTAATCTTCGTCCATATTACGCCAGGGAGGTGCGAGCGATTCATCTGCCAAAGGGTGAAAAACTTCTATTACTTTTAATGTGTCGTAAACGAACAAATAAATGTTCTGTGGAAAGAACTGCGGGTGTGCACACCTTTTTTTTGGCAATTGCACAGTGTTAGAATCAGCCCAGTTCGGATGGCGTGGGCGATAGATCAGTACCAATGCTGTATACACCAATGATTTGGCTTCCATCGTCTGTTCTGTTCACCGTTTTTCTGATAAGAGCATGCTGTTCTTTTACAGTCAAAATATTTTCATCATTAAGGAAGAAAACATTCCACATTTCCGACAAATCAGCAGGTTCATCAAAAACAATTGACTGTGTTTCGAGGCCTTCCAAAGGCCAACAAAGACCATTATCACCTTAAAAAAAAAGAGCATTTTGAAAACCATCAAATAGGTTTCTCAAACAGAGGATACTGTAAAACGCAATGTTCTTCCTATAACGTTTCATGGCGTTCAACAAAAACAACTCATTTATTTACTGTTTAGGGAATGAACGAATGATCTAGAACAACATTAATAACGTCAAAAACAATGGTCCATGATAATCAGCAGGGGAACATATGACAAGGGACGACCAGTTTTTCCCAATAAAAATACATAACAGCTTCTAAAGCAGGACCACAGCCTGTTTCACAGTTTTACATCTTGGGTATTCTTAAGCATGCAAGCAGCTGGTTGAGAAACAGTCCGCATTTCAATGCAAAGTGAAGTGCTTGCCCCTATCTCAATTTGTAAAGATCTTTTGCCGCGCAATTTCCGTAAAGGATACTTTATCCCGGATAGTTTTGCTTCTACTGTCAACATTATCTATCTAATGCCATGAGGTCTGTCTTCGACTAAAAAAATGATGGTTCGATCAACATGATTAACAACAATGCCCTCGGAAGGGTCTGTTCGTAACAACCATCCCGCTCGGAGGCTTTCAACAAGCGAATATCCATCTCATAGGTCAAGGATTCTCGTGTTCCTCGTTTCGGTAACATGTAAAGAAGGGTATCATTCCCAATTTCTCATGCGTCTACGACATCAAATTAATCATGTCAGATTTAAAAATCTGTTAGCACGCGACTCGTCATCCTGCAATTAGAAGGCTCTGAAGGAGGAGGTTTGATTATTGTCATAATTTCTACTTCTACGACATAAAAAAAGACATTAAATTTTTTCCTGAAACAACCCTCTGCCGAGACCAAACTGTAGTAACATTCCATACCAATAATTCAGGGTTGTTTAGAGATAAAGTGGTAATAAGTAACCATCCAAAAAGATAGCCACCGATCTCCTTACCGTCTGCTCCCAGTTTCTCTCGATACCTAATGGACAAAACATGAAGTCCTTAAAAAAATATATATGGGCTATAAATCATTTCTACAACTGCGATCTGCTTCCTTGTAGATTGTATTTTAACTGCACACCGTTTAAAAGGTGTCAGGATCTACCTTTTAAGCGTCAAGATGTTGCATTATCACTGATAAAACGTGTCCTTATCTTGCGTTGTTTCAGACTTGAAACACTTGCATCCAATTAGTTTCTCGAAATAACTCACCGCATGAAAATATGCATTGTTCTTGTTTCTATTCTTCCTCTTGGAACAAAATCAGATGTACTGAAGATTGAATCTCTTCTCCTGCGAGACGCAGGGTTTAACTGCGCGTCAGTTCTAAAGGATCTACATCAGGAAAATCTGTAACCATTCTTTAGACCTTGATCGTTGAATATTACTTATTTTTGTCCAAGATACCCGGAGCTGACTCGGTACATGATACGATGACTCCGACGGAACATAAATCGAGCTTTGCAGTTCAGAAAAACTTAGATGAAATCATTTTCGTTTGGCAAGGTTATCTATGACATGATCGCAATCATATTTTTACACAAATAGAATAATGTTTGAGCAACCGATGCATGATTCGGCCAGGTATTTATGTGACACGACACAAGAGAGCGTGTTATCAAACCAAACACTCAAACACGTTCATTAATTTCTAGTCCCTTTTCAATAGTTCCTTTGTACCGTGCGCTAAACGCCCAATTACAGCAAGAATAATGTGTACTCCCTATGTCTTTCCGTCACCTATAATTGAACGTCGTTTTAATAACGGGTCAAAGACAACATAGAAAGTGCGCAGTCTGTCATCCTGGATTGAAAGACTTAGACAAAAAACAGAGCATGAACTTAGTTGTTATTGCATTAAATAATGGTCATATCGGTAAATTCACTCAATGACAGTTGTACATCCGCCTGGGTTGTAACCTTTCATTCCGGCCTGGGAAATTCTAGAAGTGTATGTCGCATCATGCGAATGATTCTAGTATTTTTCACCTCCTACTGAAGAGTGAGTTGACCTTTGTCGTGTAAATAATGGCAGTCATTCTTCGAATGAGGCTTTAGTCGCACGAACTCTGAAAGAGTTGTTCAAATGAACAGAAATGAGCCGATTGACTGGTCTTAAATCTCCTCCTTCAGATGACTCTTAAATCGTCGCTTTCTTTCCTCGGTCTTCAGAAAACGATCATTCGATCAGTAATGCACTGTCATCGTCTTCATCAGGTAAAAATTCTAAAGGAAATTGTTAGTTTGTTCGTGGTTTCATTGAAAGTTTTTCATGTTCACGATCAACTCTGACTACAAATTTGCACGGCCAGAGGCCCGCTACTAAAACTTATTTTGACGAAATATTTACGTCGACGATGTTTACATTAAATGAGCTTTCTCTGTTTTGGCCAGTATGAGAGTCGTGCAACACTTTTTTATAGGGACATTTCTACCGAACAGGACCACTGTGCTTCAACAGGTTTGGAGTACCTACGAAAAATCTATTGTAACACGAAGATGTCAACAATCCACTGACTGCTTGTTCCTATTGCAATTCGTTCTGATGTAAAAATGTTTCATAAGAGATCTTGTGAAAGTTCAACGCAGCTGATCTTCGCACAAAATTCACTTATTTAAAAGTAACCTATTTTGAAGCAAGCACTGTTCGATCAGACAAACAGACTCTCTTCTCCCCGCTCTCTTTCACAATAAGCACAATACACGTTTTTCTTGTTCCTCTTTAGGGAGCAATGGCTTGATTTACAAAGGACAACCAACATCGTCACCTTCATCAGGTAAGGAAACTAGGCTCTGTTACACTTAGTCAACTTAATAGCAACATAAACCACTTCTCGAAAAAAGTTCGATAAATCTTCTTTTTTTCCGTTCAAGCCTGGTTTGGCAATTATCGTACTTAGTTAATACATTTTTATTGTCACCATTCTTAGAAGGCAAACTCCTTATAAAAAATTAAGGAAAGGTGATGTAAGCTTTTAGTTCCCTCCAAAAAAGGAAAATTATAAGTTGGCCCTTTAAATATTGATGAAAACAATTTCGTACTGTTATCTTTTGTCATTGAAAAAAGCTCTCAGTGAATCCAAGAGGTCAGAGTTTGGGGGTCTTTGGTAGATTCATTAGAAAAGCAAGGTTGCCGGAATACACAATAGATGCAGTTACTCGCAATTGTCATTGGCCATGGTTAAGGAGGAAAAAAACTCCAAAGTCGCTGAAAACTTTTAAAACTTATCAAGATAACGGTATTGACTTTGGCCTTGTGAGATTGTCAATGATTTACGTATCCAGATATACCTCTACAATCATTCGGTTTCACACCATACTTCTGGTAAACACGTTTTTTAATTTAGCACCATTAACGTGTCCTCAATTCCGACAAGATATGCTTACATCCATTGACTCAAACTAAGCAGTTAGGAAGTTACAAAGCAAGTGACCCTTCATTTGCGTGAAGTTATTTGGATCTTCAGTTAAAGGCATCCTAACTGAGATGAACAAACAAGCGACTTAAAAAAGCTTTTAAACAAATCCCTTTGTGAGCAAGCGTACAAACCCTATGTCATCAGGCAATGCCTAATTTGCTGAATGTTTTATTATGATAACCACCCATCTAAGTTGTTTCTCAGTTTGTTTCCTACAAGAACTCAAATTCACAGTTATGACAAAGCACAAGAATACCCAATTATTGTCGACCACATCATCGTCATACTAATCTTACTAATTTTACAATTCCACGGTTATAAGATTTGCAATTCTCGCCCAATATCGATCACCGGTTCGACTACCTTTACTGCATTAGAAAAAAAAAAGTTATGGAGTTTTTAATAAAATGAATCTGATGTGGCACATCCACAACCAAACTACAAACGTATTGACAATCGAAAGGGCTTCCCTTGTGAGCTCGGTGGCTTCTTGGCGATGTCCTCGCACACCATGCCGTAGAATTTGTAAATATATTACTTCTCAACTGGCTGACAAAAAATGATGATGATGTACCCTGCACCCTATAATGCTTTCTTTAGTGGAAACATTCCACAGCGGTGAAATGCACCTAGTTGCTTCCTAAGTCTTTACCGATTTACTTTGGTTCTTCCATGCTAGCGTCTCCAAGATTTGTGGACTCCATTAGGATGCAACAGACTTTTATTGCATGGCCCGCACGCCACAGCGTCCGACTTAAATGCAAAGCCAGTGGCTCAAGTCCGTTAAGATTCCAGTGGCTAAAGGATGGTGATCCATCCATTCATCGAAGATTACAACCGAGACTTAAAACGAACATGTGGTACCTGAAGCTTAAAGACTTGCTGCCATTAGACTCTGGGAAATATACTTGTATAGTTTCCAACACATATGGCTCCATCAATCATACCTATACCCTACGAGTTGTAGGTAATAAGCAGAGTAATGAGTTATAATTGACACTGTAAAAGACCTTAAGATTTACGAAAGAAAACTGCATAAATAATTTCACCTCCTGACTAAATTATGAGTAAGTGCGCAATCACCGAAATTTTTAGTTTTTGTACAGAAATGTCAAATGTAACAGCAGCAAAGAGAATCTAAGCAGACATTTTTGGGGAACGTGCTACCTTAAACCATTTCCTGACATAAAAAGACTCTTAAAAAATGCTATGAAGATGTGTTGGAAGCAAAGATAAAACGCTGAATATAGAGCTGAAGCGAGGATTATGATCATGGCTGCCTGAAAACCCAAATCGTTATGTTACGTCGCAAAACAATTTCACATGGATAGTTTGCTTTTATTCCAATCTTGGGTTTTAGAATGTCTATTTATTCTTAGAGGGCATAACGAGATTTTAAATGAACGAAACGCTTTTCCGCCAAACGCCTTCCGCCATTAAAAGCCAGGTTATCATCAAGTTTGCATTCTGAAAATTAGAGAAATTTCGTCGTTTTAATTATCATTGTATTACTTTTGCAGAAAATCTTGAAGAAAGCTTGTTCTGAAATGCAGATAACTTCCATCTTTTATTGATCAAGCTTCTACTCTTTTTACAGAAAAATCTCGCACCAAGCCTATTCTGAAGTGTGGCTTTCCTAGAAACACCAGCGCAGAGCTTGGACAGAACGCTTCAATGACTTGCATCGTTCTTATCAGTGGAACACTACCAGATTTTAGATGGCTTAGGTGGAACACTATTCCAAGCACTTTCCCCGACTCGCTTGATTTTGAGAACGGATCGTACACCCTTGTCAACCCTCGGCAATATCAGACGGTTCACGTTGGAGGAAAGTATGGCGTGAAAGTGAATATTTGGAACGTCCAACCCAACGATTTGGGCCTGTATACGTGTTACGTTAGCAATCACCTTGGTTCTGACTACATGAGTGCGTTTTTAACCGAGGAAAAGGACAGGAGAAAAGAATCTGAAGGTAAGCTAAGGACTTAACGAACTCTGCGGTGTTTTGTCGAAATGGTATACGTAAAATCGTTCAATTACATGATGGGATGTGAAGAAACGATTCAGCATCGCAAAATCGCACCAGGTTAACTCGAACATTCTGCTAATTTGAACTCACAGCCATTTGAGTGATATTTTGGAATCATTTACGAATAGCTGGCTCGAACCCACTGTTTTATCGAATTGTTTCAAGTTTTGCAATACGAGAGCGAAGTTGCACTCTACATGTACGGTGTTTAATGGAAATGACTTTTATCTCCGTGATTGCTTGAAGTAAGCAAAGAGCAAAGTGCCAATCTGCCGGAATAATAAGGCAAACATTGTTTAATTGATTGTGGACACAAATCATTGAAATAAATGAAGTAGTAACGATGGCTTGAGGCCATAACCCTCTAATCAGGTTCTTTTGCCGGAAAGAGACGGCTTAGATTCAAAGGATGTTATTTCCGTTTCCTGTTATGATAAAAAGTTGCTCACTGAGTTAATCATATTTGAGATAAGACAACATTAACAGGGAATTTTTTTCCTTCAATTTGGAAATATGTTTTGATCTCCCTTTTGGTATGAAACTCTAAAGCAAATAATTAGTTACAATGAATCCATAGCTGGTCATCTTTTTGCATCATAAAGAATTTCAAGCTTCTATGGTCGTCTTATGAAAATATGATCGTGAGAAAGTATGTGAGCGTCATTCACTGCAGGGAGATGATAAGGAGCCAAAGAAAAGTAATGGAACTACTTCTATCGAGTGTGTTCCATACATTATACACAGCAACAATATCATCAACAGTACTAGAAACTTTTAAAAATTTATGTGGATTAAAATAAGTACATGCTCTGTAAAGCGCTAAAACAAAAACCTTTTGCCATTTTTGTTCAACGACTAAACTAAAAATTTACCATCTTTCTTAATCTATTTACGCTAAAATCTGATTTCCTTTCGCCCTGCATGATAGTCTGGACAACCCATTCTAAAATGAATAAAGTTCCCGCAGTCTTCCTCTGCATAAATAGGTTGAAATTGGCGGACTCCGCTGAGATGTATTCGAGCAACTCAGCAGGTTGGGTAGTTGATGAGATTTTCCAATATCCGCCTGTAGTTAGCTTTTTCAGATTTGGCAAAGATGAACAACTCATACGGAAGGAATATTCATTTACAATAAGTCAAGATATCACTTTTAATATTTGTTCAACCAATTAGCTCGTCAGGAGGGCACTTAACACTGATTTCCATGGGATAATTCACTAGGATTATGTCTATAACCAAACAATGACGCAGCCTGTTTGTCTTGCAAGCTAGATGACCCTAGATGCTTTTAGCTTTAACGTCATCTCCATTTCTCTCTACCTTAGCCATTCTGAATTAGTCCACTACAACTTGGAAACTACTTTAAGACTAAGCTTTATATAATACTTTATAAAAGTTATCCTATAACGCTATTCGCAATCTTGCCTTTGTTACAAAAACGACCCCACAAGCAATTACTTATTGTCACTTATATCTTGCATCTATAAAAGATCAGTGTCGTTGTATTTCGACCTCAATCTTTTAAGTTTAAAGGAAATGCAATTGTTGCCTTTTTGTCATATCGAAGGGTCGCAAAGTACATTTTTGTGCCATATGAGTTTGAGACACGGATCAATAGGTTTGGGTTTGAGCCATAATTTTGTGAATTTGTTATTTCTCTGGTAAGAAGCTTTACTCTTACAGCGCCCCTCTCCACCCAGTTGTATAAACAAACTGTCAAAAAAACCTAACGAAGGGCTGAAGGGTAACCTTGCGATGGACAGGCATTCCGTCTAAGGGGAAATAACAATTCTCTAAGTCGCTTCATGCTATGAAACAGGGATAAGCTTGAACGCAATGATCCTTAAGTGATCACAAGTTGTCTTTTCTGTTATTTATCGCTAGTATGACTTTGAGAGCACAACACCACTAAATAGGAGTACGCTTTCGTAAACAAAAGCTTCATGAACATTAATTTCAATACGATCCTTGCCTTTACTAGGATAACAGGCCTAAAAAAAATCTGAAAATTAAAATCTAATTTTATAACGTGGGTTCTAAAAGTGTTACTCGTATCACTGACCTGCGGATGTCTTTTCAGTTACGACAGGGAAGCCTGAGGAAAAGGACTTCGCAAATCACGAGAATACAGGATCTCCGCCATTAAGGGGTATGCCAGTGGCTTCCTTCCTTCTTTCTTTCTTCAGTTTTTCATACCTTGATGCTTGATTTCTCAGTATTTCTCCAACTCCCTGACCGATAGTTTGTCAAAACGTTGCAAACGTAGAACCTTTGTAAAACAACGAATGTTTATATCAACAAAATGTCTGGAAAATTGGTGTTAAAGTTGTTTTTAGTTTACCAAAATGCGCTCCGGGTACTACTGCAATATCACAAACTTAGTCAATTCGTAACGCAACTAAAAAGGCAAATTCTACAACACCAGCTAGTTATAGAGTGCTGTGATGTCTTCACACTGGTGCAATAAAAAGGAAGAGAACTTTTAAAAGATAAATGTATTTTAGGAGAAACTGAAGAAATCTTGCTACGAAAATATTTCCGCCGTTAGGAACCAACGCAACAGAGGAGATCCCCCCAGCGAAACAAGCGGTAACACGATCCCGGGAGGCAAAGATACCTTTGAGTGTGTTCATAGGCGTCCTTAGCACCTGGGCGGTCATCACAACTATCGCACTCCTCTGGTGTCACTTGTACCACAAGAAAATAAGAGCAGCAAAAACAGGGGTAGAGTTCTAATGAACGAGGAAGGAATTTTTCCGCTCTGATGTTACCATGAGAACCATGAGAACTGAAGCTGGATTCGAGCTATGGGTCATTATTTGCACTCGCACCTCTGACTTGTTGGTTTACGTTCATGTTGTCCAGTATTAGACATTGCCGTTGTTGTTGTTGGTGTTGTTGTTTTAGTTGTTTTTTTGCTGTTTTTAACCAATATTATCACTTCACATTTAATCTTATGTCCTATGGATAGCTTCTTAGATGCACATCGAGGTTTTGATGAAAATGAGGATTGATAGCTGGGACAAGTATGCATAAATAGGAGCGGCAGTTTTCTCAGTTCATTAGTCACACAAGAAAAACGGGAAAGCCGCTCGTTCATTGTATTTGTTTTCTTTAAAATCAGCGCTAAGCCGGGCAAGGTGCTAAACAGAGAACTTCAGTGTTCTGACAATCACTCCGCCCTAATGACAAAACAGGGAAAACTTTGAGATCTAATCGTGTAGTATTTTAACTTTTTCATTTTGTCTCGTGGAAGTACGAACATTTTACCGTTCATCTAATGAAAACTTTTTAAATATGGTACAATTAACCAGGGTTGATAGTTTTCTTTTTGTAGTTAATGTGGTGATTATTTCTTTTTCAATTTTTTCATTTCAGTCTATTTAATACATTGTACAGTCAAGATGTAAATTAACATGTAAATTGTAACGTTTACAAACCGTGATTATAGAGCTCGAAAATCAAACTTTCTATGAGGTAAGCTCAATTTTGACTCTTAATACAATACTTGGGAGACTGGCGCAGTAGACTTCACTTTCAACACAGATGTAAACATTTATCGGCAAGCTAAAAAGCCGCTTATTCACGAAGAACAGTACAGGACGACACGTCATCAACGAGGGATAAAAACTGCCCAATGACTTCTCTACGAAGGCTGGTTATTATGCTTCCTTGACCAAAGTTACAGGGCCACTTATTTAAACGAGATCTAACCCAAACCGCGGTTTTCTGAAAGCAGTAGGCCTCGGTGATTCTCCATAAGAGGGTTGATTTCATTGATGTCCGTCTACTTTTAGGTTTCGGCTTGTTGACACTGTTCACAAAAAATTGATTCTTAGATAAAGTTCGGCTAAATTGAAGAAGGCTTAAAACGCGGTTTTGTTAAACGACGGCTAAACTAAACTTAAAACCCTGATGAAGGCACTAGACAGGAGTGTGGAAACGTTGGGTCTATGAATTGTAACTTCTTCGGTTACACTCATTAAATCTGCAAACCAGTGTAGCATCAAACTATGTCTAACCGACCCATTGTATCATAGTGACAAAAATATATATTCTTCAACCTGCTGAACGTTATCGAAATGTAAGTCACCCTACACTCTTTACCAAGAAGATAAAACTAGACGGGGAAGTTATAAAGTGCAAACTATCACATATCGTTACGCTATAAATCGAAGTTTATAATGGAACTGAACTGTGGCTCTACACATCGACTACAGGCGTTACGTAGGGAAGGGAATATATGACAGTACTATATGTCAACTGAGGTGAATAATCATTCAAGCCAGACTCACTTCTGAAGTATTAGTGAAAATAGATCCTAAAGGACTCTGAAGGAAGAAATGAGATTTCCTCCCTCAACAATCTCACCACACGAGTATCTTTTACGTAATCATAGCAACATAAACCATTACAGATTCATTATGACAAGTTTAACTACATCCTCTTATAAATCCAAAAATTATACATGACAAATCTCCATTGAAGACCACCGTAAATGGAAAATAATAATTTACACAATGATCAAATCAAATTTCCAATAATTCAAGAGCTAATTTGCTCTTGACTGAATGATGACATGTCTATGCTGGCTTCAATGACCTCCTGCATGTTGGCACCTCGCCCAACACAGATTACATGACGCCCAAACAACCTACAAGAGGGCGTACGAATGTCATCCCCAATACAGATTTACCTCATGCATGCCTCAAGCCGAAAATGTACACTTTTTCCATAAGTTTTTCCTCTTCGACAGCATATTCATGTAAATATCACGATTTTATTTAAAAGCGTTCGTGTGTAAAGAGGTGAAGGCTTATGGATAGGATTCCACTACACGTAATATGATTCCTGGAGCGTAAGACCATGGCCACTTCATGGCTTCACTACAGTGAGAAAACCACGTAACTGAAAACCGATATTGGCAAATGATGAGTTGGTTATGGCTGAATCATTTTAAAATGGAAAAAGGAAATGCGTGACATGGCAGAAGGCTGATTGACCATTGAGCTCAGTTAAGTGTTCCTCGATTTTCTTAAGATCATAATAATCACTGTTTCGAGTGTCCTCGTTGTGCTACGAATTGTTGGTTTTTATTGACTTACAGTTCACATTAATGAGTTTTGTCCGGTTAGCAACGCTTATCTTTCAGTTAAGCCCCAGCCAAGCCCCACATCCGGTTTTTTACTTCTTAGTTGGTGGTGTGCTAATATTTCAAGTCTGGCACAGGTTAAGTTAACTTTCCTCTTTAAGGTTAACGATTTGTCTCCCTTGTAAATTGCAAGATTTCGTCTGCAGTTGTTATATCATACCTGGAGTTTAATCAGTTATTCCTTTACGTTGCATTCGTTCAACCCCTGCATGTTTCTTCGCGGATATAGAATGATCTTTGAACAGAGCGCAGCTTTTGAAGTGACCCTGTAAAATGCAGGAAACTTATGAAAAAAAGCCGTAGCTAAGTACATTTTTAGAGCATAAGGAGGAAAAGGCAATGGTATTCTAAAAAAGCGGTTGCATAACTTTCCGACAAGCACGAAAGCACAAAGAAATTGGATTTCTGTGCCCCTTAAGCAAAGCGGATGTCTGGTTAAATTTAAAAGGGAAGTGTAATTATATAGTGCAGATCAAATGGAGTTTATGTAGTGCTATTCCAATGTTAACTTCTCAGTGCTTTGCATTCTGTTTCACACTCTTCTTTTCAGATCTTTTGGTCGGATATGCCCGAAAAAGATTTCCACTCTCAAGTTTGGTCATTTCAATTCATTTTTAACTATGAAAGGTTTGTTGATGATGTCCCATGATTCCCCTCACGCGTAGCTCGTTGTAGGGGTCGTAGGATGACTGTCCCCTCAAGTAATGACAATTGATAACATAAAGTTTAAAGCAACTTTTTGAAACCTCCTTACTCCGTACCCTAGCTAATGCAAATGCACTAAAAGATCATTTTGGGCAGAATGTTACTTCAATAAAATGCAACGTGAAGCCACTGAAGTAATAATACTCAGTTATTGATGGCAGGAGCCCATTGCTTCTCTCAAACTTCAGTCAGAAAGTCAATCTGCCAAACATTAGTGTTCCTTGCACTTGTCGCTTTAGATAAATGTTACGATGGCTGAAGGAGGTATCTCTGGCAGTTTGGTTCTATTTCATACGAGCATTCTCAAATCTCTTTTTTTTTTCAAACTACTTTCATAACTTCTTCTTCATCATAAATGGTTCAACACCTTGTAACATACTCCTCAGGACGACGACGGTAGCGTTCACCACCATCTTACCAGTCTTATGAACAACGTATGCGTGACATCAACATAATCAAAGCACTGGAAATGAAAATCAAACAATACCTAATCATCAAATCTAACAAACTGCATGTGGTGCAAAGCTTCTTGAATACAAAGAAAAAAAACAACGTTTCGGCAAAACTGATAAATCATATTCAATGAATTAGATCATGCTTTCTCAACCAGACTCAAAAATCTCTGATGAACAAAGACTCTTCACTGGAATCTATTGAAGATTCAGTATCTCAAAAAGTAGGTCCCCTTTAGCGATTACACTCACAATAAAGGGGGTAAGTTTCTTAAGAAATACAATAGCCTTGTTCAGACTGCCCAGCCTTTTTCATTCGGAAGATCACACGATACGATTCAGCAGTGCCGAACACTAACAAATAAACTACTTTCATTTGGTTTTCCCGCAAGGTCGATAGCAAATGATAGCTGTGTTCTGAAGCTTAAAACATACAACGAATTACGCAGTTTTCTGAATTCAGAAGGATCTCGAGAGGTTTTGTGGTGTCGATTCTCTATCAGAAGTAACACTTATCCTGCTTTGCTGAAAATCCTCTCGGTAAAGTCAATTTGACAATAGAGCTAAAGGTGCGTCATAATGACAATCTGGCAACGACTGAATCGTTATCAGCGTCTCAAAAGACGACCATTGAAAAGCAGACTATAAAGTAGTTTGCTGTCACTACCTTGTAGTGACTTTCACTTTAAAAAATTAAATTTGCAGTTACACTTTTGGCAACTTAATGTCAACTTAATGTCAACTTAATGGTAACTTAATTAACTCAAGCGACGCGATAAACGTCTTCTTATAGGGTGGGTACCACAGGTGATCGATAGTCTCTTCCAGGCGTTTACTTGTTCATCAAGTGCAATAGATACTAAGCAAAAATTCTCTACGAGATATTCGCTCTCGAAAACGGTCAACTTTCTAGATGGCAAAAATCCCGATGAACCCATACATTCCAAGCAAAAGAATGTCAAGTTATTTCTTAACATCGTGTCGCCGAGGGTAAATATGTCCTATATTTCGATTATTCAGTGTGAACATTTTTGTGGCTTAATGGGAGAATAAAGGCTTATGTCAAGGAGCGAAGAATGAAAAAAATATTTGTGACAATCATGTAAGCATAAATCGCGTTCTAGTCAGTTTTTCTCATACAAACAGCTTAATTAGTTATGCCTTATTGTTATGGGTTGTTCTAATTTTTATTTTCTTTTTGAACAATTGTCTTTAGAGTGATTAACTTTTAACTTAAATAGTACAGTGCAATACCAACATTACGTAATGCACTTAGAGTAATTACGATACTAACAATGCATACGTTACTTACAATACAACCCCTATTTCTATTAATACTTATCAATACTTACTTTGAAGACTACTCACAAAGAAGTTTTCTCTTAAATTAGCTTGCACTTCAAATTATATGATGCTTACACTGCGTTCCATAATTAGCTTTTTTTACATACTAAACATTACTCACACTAGGTGAGGAAATTACAATTTATAATAGGGAAGGGAAAATTCAACAAACAGATATGAAGCGCTTTTAGACAAATAAGTAAAATAAAGCATTTTATCAAGTGGTCTTACACATTTATAAACCTAGCAGTGTTAATCTACTTTCTTAAGAGCTTACCACAATATTCATTCATTTTAATCAAAATGTTTTCTTTTTCGTTTTAGTAGCAGTACAGTTTTCAAAACGCATAAACCAGATTTAAGAATCATTAATATTATGTCGGAAAAGGGCCTAGCATCCACGGTATGAAATATATATCTACTTGCTACTTTGCCCAAGATAGGTCAATAATATCTGTATTTTTGGCTGTACTTTAGCAGGAACACCAGTATTTACTGACCAAAACTTGCTTAACAGATCATTCAGGGCATGACCTGCATCACACTCCATAAGACTGAAATATCGAGCAATTTGTGCACCACCCCTTTGCGTAGTCGCTGTATAGCATACTTCTTAGAAAACGTTCTTACTTACTCAAACCTAATGATTTAACTCGTTATCTCCAAATTCTCCTGACCGTTTGCAACACATTTCTTGTAATTGTAGTTCTGAGAATGTGGTCCCAAATTAAATAATATTAAAAATAATTATGGTGTTGAGGTAAATATTGTGAATGTGACTGAGGATGATTTTGGACCCTACACTTGCTTTGTGAGCAATGATCTCGGCAACGATTTCTGGAGTGCATTCCTAACTAAATAATTGATCGCTACTTTGGTTCATTTGTATGCAATACTCGCCTTGACGTACAATAATTAATCGACAAGCATTATCGTCAGTCATGGTATATTACTCGTTCCTTTTACTGATATTTATTCAACCTTTTTCGACCTTGAAACTTAGTTATGCTCAACTGCATTTTGGTACAACGTCAGACAAAAGGATCTGAACACGTCCAAAACAGACTTGGTCGACTTCGCTTTGCCAGCCTCGAGCCAAACATGGACGACACACTTTCAATTTTTTTAGAGTTACTTTTTTGTGTGGCCTTGGTTCCTTTCCCTGCATGTTCAGGTATGTATCACGAAGAAATCTTTTAAGGGGAAAATGAAAATGTGCGCAATGGAAATATCATAATGCGTATAAGCGTCACTATATGACCGAGCGATAGATTGTCTTTCAGAAATAATATTTCCCTTACTAGAGATTCTTCTTCGGGTCAGTACAACTGAAAGTCATAGTGTTCATTGTTAGGAAGAAGAATTAGCACAATGGTGAATAAATGTTTCAAATGAGGACATTGTACAAGTACAAGTACAAGTACAATCGTGTCATTTGAGATCAAAACTTACAGAAGACCAAATAGTTGATTGTTACTTTTGTTCAATTGTATGCAATTCTCGCTTTAACCTACAATAATCAATCGACAAGCATTGTCGTCTGTCATGGGTACATTGATTCTTCCTTTTCCTGATATTTATGCGTTGACACAGGATATTTCTTCACGGAATAAGCATACCCCTATTTACTTCCTGTGTTGTTGCTTGGAAACAGCGAACGATATAGTTTTTGTGGTTGTCAGGAACGTGTAATTAATGCCCATGATCAATCTAGTCTGAAATTCTTTTTGAGATCTCATTCTTTAGCTACGCCTGTTCAAGTACCAGAAAGTAGAAAACTTTTCTAACTTGACAGAGAGAGGCATAGATTTTCTATCAGAAATAATATTTCCCTTACTGATGATTCTTTTTCGGGTCAGTATCAAAGTCATCGTATGTTCATCGTCTGGAAGAAGCTTAAAGCACAATGGTGAATAAATGTTTGAAATGAGTACATCGTACAAAAAGTATCGTGTTCCAATGTTCTATAAAATCGCGTCATTTGAGATCAAAACTTACAGAAGACCAAATAGTTGATCGCTGCCTTCGTTCATTTGTATGCAGTTCTCGCTTTAACCTACAATACTCAATCGACAACCATCGTCGTCTGTCATGTTTACATTGATTCTTCCTTTTACTTATATTTATTCCTTTACACAGGATATTCCTTCACGTAATAAACATACCCCTATTTACTTCCTGTGTTGTTGCTTGGAAACAGCGAACGATATAGTTTTCGCGGTTGTCAGGAACATGTAATAGATGCCCATGATTAATCCAGTTTGAAATTCTTTCTGAGATCTCATTCTTTAGCTACGCCTGTTCAAGTACCAGAAAGTAAAAAACTTTTGTCTTTGATCAGAAAAGTGTTTATGTTTCCGATTGCCTTTAGTTACAGGTCTTAGGTCGGTCCGGTATCCTCGCTATTTCAAAAGTTTCATAGGTCAATTTATTACCAAGAGTGTTACTCTGGGTAATGCTTGTTCTCGAAAATTGAACAGTTTGGATTTGGATTATTTCTCGTTTTAGAAAATTTTGCACTCCGCATTCAAGGTACTCCAAAACGTAGTTATGTTGCTGAAGTTGGAGACATAAAACGGTTACGATGTGCGGTGACAGGGCTTCCACTACCGTCTATCACATGGATCAAGGATGAACAACCTTTAAAGCTCTCGGAAAGGGTAAGTAAGCTGAACAACGACAAAACCATAAAGATCAATGGAGTCAGACTCGACGACCAAGGCAAATACTCCTGCTTTGCTGAAAATCCTCTCGGAAAAGTCTACTTGACATTCGGGTTAAAGGTTCATAATGACACTCTGGTAACGACTGAATCGCTATCAGCGTCTCAAAAGCCTACCACTGAAAAGCAGATTAAAGGTGAGCAGTCATATCAGAGTTACAGAGTTCTTCTCGATGAAACTGCTTCTTATGGTTGTTCTTTCTAAGTCTGACGATGAAACCCTAACGTTTTTAAGGTCATTTTAAAGTTGTTTGGTGTCACTATTCCGTAGTGAATTTCGTTTTAGAAGACTGAGAAACACTTTTGGCAACTAAATGTCGCATCATACGTTCATGAGTGTGTTCAATGTTCTAGTGACAGTGCTAAACGTCTTCTTACACAATTAAGTCAATCAGTATTCTATTCCTTAACCTTCTTTATCAAGGTGCAATAGTGGCCTGCGTGAAGGCTCGCACTGCGAACTTGCGCTCGATCAAATCGCTCTCTCGATGGTTTGAAACTGCTTCGCCGCTCGTGTGGCAGCGTTAATGAGAGGCTGTTCGCAAGCTAACGCAATTGGAATATTTTTTTCTTTTTTTAATACTAGATCCTAAATAATTTTCAAGGATTTTCTCAATAAATAGTTTTTCTTGTACTTTTGTTTTCGGAAGTTTTTTTTTTTCCTTTTGAAGACGTTGTTTGAATTCACTTTTTATCTAGCGCTCTCAACAGGAGAGTCTGCCGCATCGTTCATATTTTTCTTCATTAGCATACATGTTTTCATGGAAATGAGGCCGACTTGAGAAAAAAATTACTTCAACAATTAAAAGAGCGTCCCAGAGTTTGAAATTTGTGAAATTTAGAGCTTCTTGTGAGTGACGCTAACTGAACTACTCTCAATCACAAATGGTTAAATTTCTTAATAGCAAAGTGCCGATGAACCCATACATTCTATTTAAAATTTCTAGGAGATGAACGTTATTCGTTTGTCTCACGACGCAGTCACTTTTCCTATTTTACACCACGATGAACAATAACCACATATTTTATTACGTAAAATTTCTAATTCTCAACATCTTGTGGATGAGAGAATCTCCGATGTGTTGGGCTTAAATTTTGAGAGACGGTAGATATGTCCTATGTTCCGATCATCTAGTGCCAACACTTTTATAGCTCGATAGGAAAATGAAGAGCCTATGTTAACGAGCATTAGATGTAAACAAAGATTTTGTAACAATCATGCAGGCATAAATTGCCTCCTTGAATGTAGCTTCAGTTATAAGAATTAACAATAAATCGCTGTCTTGTGGACAGTTAATTGCACACTGAAACAAAAGCGTGGATATTAGGAAAGAAAAAGTTAACATAAGATATGAAGCGCTCTAAGAGAACTGAGAAAAATTGAAGCATTTTATCGAGTAGTCTTACATATTTATAACCATCGCAATGTTAGTCTACTTTCTTAAAAGCTTACCACAGTATTCATTCATTTTTAATCAAATTTTTTTTGTTCACATTTTAGCAGCTGTACAATTTTCCAAACGCATAAACCAGATTTTAAGGAACATGCATATAAGTTACATTAATTCAGGATATACTATATTACGGAAAAAAAAGGTCTAGCGTGCACAGTATAAATCATAAACTCAAGCTTCTTTGTGCTTCGCTTAAAATAGGTAAAAATATCTGTATTTTTGGTTGTACTTTAGCAGGAGCACCAGTATTTACTGATCCAAACTTGCGAAAGAGATCATTCAGGGCATGGCCTGCATCACACTCCATAAGACTGAAATGTCAAGCCATTGGTACACCACCTCTCAAATACAAATGGCTTAAGGACGGAAAGGACTTAAAAAAGCCACCTATGGACGCAACTGTTAATACTCCACTTTGGTACCTGCAACTGCAAGATCTTGTACCCACTGATTCTGGGAGATACACTTGTATAGTGTCCAATTCATATGGATCAATAAGTCACACCTTTACACTTCAAGTTGTTGGTAAGTATAGTTAAATGTACCGTAGACGATTCATCAAGAAGCAAACTTCAGTATTCAAAGCCAATGAGGAACTTACTGCGAGACTCTGAAAGCCGTGAACACAACTTTTATGGAAAAGTTTTAATGAAGATAAAAATTAAATGGCGATAATGATAATGCTGATACTACTACTAACAAATCTACCAACAATTACGCTATTAGAGGACTTTTGCCATGTCTTCATAGCCTCATCTTGACTCCGTTGGTTTGGACAATTTGAGAAAGTTATGCAAACCCTTAACTGCGGTTCGGGTCTGCAGAACAGTCGAAAATTCTCCTTATCCCCCGAGTGTTTAGATGAGGCTATGTAAAACGGGAAAAAGTCCCCAGCTGCTTCAATGAAATATTTCTCAAAAATAATAATAATAAACGGGACGCAATCGTGT